CTGGGGAAGGGTTTTTGTTAACTAAAATTAATTATAATTATTATGAATATATATATATATATATATATATATATATATATATATATATATATTTGATATTGTAGGTTGGGACAATAATTAGGCTTAGTTTTTACTAAAACTTAAAAACTATAATAAAAAAGGGAAGGGCATTAAAATATTAGATTCATGGTATACTTGCACTTATATTCTCCATCATATTATAACTACTTTTGATAGATGACGTTTTTAGCATGAAATTTGCCATACAACACATTTTCATTTTAAAGCTTATGATAATATATATATATATATATATATATATATATCTTCCAACGGGAAAGGTCAAATCAAGTGTAAAATCATTATAAATATGTTCTTCCCTAAGTGATTTTTTTTCTTCATGTATCTATACTATATTATAAAGTATTTGACAAAAACTCTGAAAAATTATTTTTTATGCATGAAGTACTGTATATTGATGCATATTACTTAAAATTTAAGATTACAAATATATTATGCACAAGTACAACTTATTAAAGCTCCATATTTGAATTTGTGTAACTAATTGCGAATAAACATAATCAAATAGATGGTAAACATCACATTTTAAAACATAAATTATCTAAAATATAATTAGGATAATCATCGAGTTCTAACAAAATAATTAATTAGTATCTTTATAAGAAAATTAAATTATTAAACCAAATATAAATTATCGTTATTGAACTTAAATTAAATTATGACAAAAAAAGATTGAATTAAAAATTACATAAAAAATGAGGAATTTTAAATAGTTAATTTGACACTAATATCAATATATTTTTGTCAAATTTTTATGATACCTTCAAATTTATATTTTATTAAAAAAATAAAAAGATCAAGATGTATCTCGATGCATTGCGCGAGTACTCTTGTAGTAATCATAAATAACAATTTCATTTATCCATCCGACTTGAATGAGTTTTCAAATCTATTTATTTATATAATTTATTTTCAATCCTGAATTAATTAATTCCTCCAAAATAGGTTATATGAGGGAGGTGCAACTACAAATTTCCCGATTTTAGGTATTTTTAATTATAATTTCTAGAAACATTTTGACTTATTTTATTATTTATTAATTATTAATTAAACCATAATAAATGAGATACTATTTCAAGATCTCCCAACATTTCTTTTTAAGTTTAAACACCATTTACTCATAATGCAGTATTTAAATGCTTTTCTTTTTCTTGAAGAAATAGACGTAAAGACCGTTGAATAATCAATCAAAACAACTCCTAAAATATAATAAAAATTATTTTATTATTTTCAATCATTCTAAATAAATTAATTCGTAAATTAATATTGAAAATCAATAAATAATAATACTTCCATCAAACCATTATTCGGATTCATGGTACGTTTGCACATACAATCCCCATCATATCATAACATGAATAATTTTGAAATTATTAATTCATTATAAAATTATGTATAATTATACACACTTAATCATATATGACTAAACACATGTTATCTTGACCAACGTATAACATGCAACCTACTACTAGAAAACTGGGTATCACAGATAAAAGTTACCAACAACTAAAATCCATCAGTAGTTTCTAACTACACATAGAAATGGGGCGGACACCCCAATCCCCATCCCCATTCCCACTCTCCAATCTCCGTCCCCGTCCCCGAGGTATATGTTCACATCCTCATTTCTGTCCCCAGCAAGGAACCGGAATCCCAATGGGGAGTTAGGGATTTTTTTTCGTGTTTATATAAGTTATTTTAAATTAAATATGTTAACGCTACACTCAATCCATAATGGTTTGAAAACTCATCTGAAATTTGTTTTTATTAAGTATCAAATGTTTATATGCTAACAAAATTACAACATCATACATAATTGTTTAATCAAACGTTTTTGACTCTTTATATTTTTTATGTAAAAAATAAAACAATTTAGAAAAAATATGTATAAGAAGAAATGTTAAAATATTTTCTAAATCTAATCGTCGATAAATAAAATATATAATAAAAATATACAATATATTTAATATAAATATAAAATAGTTCTAATATACGTGGACCGAGCAGCTCGATGATCATGTTACCCGGCTCCGTCCTCATCCCCGGTTTTTACGGGGAATCCCTATTTCTGACAGATTCCCGACAAAAATCTCACGCCACTAACTTTTCCTGATGAAGCAATATGCCATCGATAATCCATCGATGAATTTAAATATTACCAACGAATCACCTACGATCATACGAAAAAATATTTTTAAAAAATTAAAATTAAAATATTTTTCGATCCGTTTAAATTCACCAATGGATCATTGACAGTTTTTCTCAAAAAAAAAATTAAAAAACAACATTTTAACATAAAATGAGTTAAGTAAATTAAATTTGTTTAGAAAAAAAGGGAAATGGTTTTTGGTGATCACCGACGGCTTTTAGTTCTTTCCATGTTTTTTCACCCTATCAGTTGAAATCTGATTTTTTGTTTATAAATATTTTTCTGTAAAGACGAACATGTTTTGTGAGCTTGTCTAACCCGTAAGTGCCGGCGATTACTAGCGATTCCGGCTTCATGCAAGCGAGTTGCAGGAAACATGCCCAGAAAGGAAACTAGATGGTTCGACCAAAAACAATTCTTACGCGGACATGTTGTGTGAGTTCACCAGGTAATGCTGTGTAAGGTAGACATCTCCCATAACGCCGTTGCTTTGTGATGTAGACACGCACTATAATATCTTTATTTTGTGAAAAATATTATACTCATCAAGGCATGCTAATTTATGAAGCTT